TATATAAAGAAAATCCAAAGGTTGTCAACCTCCATTTTGTAACCACTTGGGACGTCCTGGCGTCACATGGAGTTGGAACATATGAATGTGCAGAAAGCACCAAAACAAAGAGGAAACTACAAAACTGGAGAAAAAAGAGATTCAACTTTGGGCTCATTTTGTTTTTTACTTAATGAGTCTGAGTTTGACATGAGCTACACTGTGTGCAACATTTACAAAATGAAGATGAAGCACTTTAGGAACACGAGAAATGGGCTCACATTGAGTTTTGAATGAAAAAAAAAATTGATTCTGAATTGAATCGTGAGATGGTAAAAGATTCCCACCCCTAGATTAAACTTAGAAAGTTTGAAGTCCATGCTGTCCAATCCAGCTCACTGTTTTTTACAGAAGCCCTGTGAAAGCATCACAGCTTTGCCGATCTCAGAATGTTAAAAGAAAAAAAAATTCCTGTATCCGCATCGTGATCCGGAACATCACCAAAATTTAATGGTGTGTTCCTTGGACCAGTACACACATGTGGTAAAATGTCATGACAATCTGTTCACAAGTCTTTGAGTATTGTTGTCCACAGACAGAACGACAGCTAGACATACACGACCGAAAACATTACCTCACCCTTGGCGGAGGTACTAATTATGTCAATAAGGCTTCATTTAGCCCAGTGTTTTATTTACATGGAGCGTTGACACTCATTTTAGGAACTACAAATCAATATATCAGAGAAACTACAGGATTAAACTCGTACAGATGGAAGCATTTGATATAGTTCAGGGTGTTTTTTATGTTTGATTTCATACAACACATCAAGTACCTTTAAAGAGCAACTGCTGCAAAACTCCAATAACTATAGCATATATGTTAAACACAAAACGTAATGAAATTTGTATTTGCTAGATTATTTCTCTGTAACAATGCTACCTGGCAATAAATCTTAGTGAGCACCTGACTGGAAGCACCTGGGGGTACCAGAAGCTCAAAGCTCCAGTGTCAAAATGAGCTGTTTGGCAGAGATTTAGAACTTTTTCATTTATGTTGTGTCGTTCACGAACGATTCACACATTTTAATGAATCAAATTACTTCATTAACTGCTTCGCACAGTTCCCAGTACAGATGAGCACACCAACACGCCAAACAAATGTCTCTTTAAGCATTAAGAACGAACTGAACGATTCAGTGAACGAATCTTTTTCACAAATCACTTTAATGAACTGACTGTAAAGATTCAGTTCATCAAAATGAACTGTAAGTCCCATCGCCATTTTTCATGAGTGCAAGCCTCATGCTCAGCTCTACAGCTCATCCCACAAATGCATGTTCCTTACAAATGTGGCACCATTTAAATCGGACATTAAAAGGCTTTCCAAGATTTATTGCTGGGAAGCATTGTTACAACAAAGAAATAATTTGTAGCACTTCATAATAAATACGTTATTTTAGCTTTACTTAATTATTATTAAAGGGTTAGTTAACCTTGAAAACATCAATAATTAACCTAATTACTTCCAAAACATCATACTGTTTATTTATAATTAATAACTTGGGCATTAACCACTCTCTAAACTAGGGGTGTAAGAAAATATTGATACACTGAAATATCGTGATATTTCATTTTCCTGATACTGTATCGATATTCTAAAGCCCTGTGTCGATTTTTTATTAAGGTTTAAAATGTAAACTTTCCTGCCAGCCGTTCATTTTTATGTTGTAGTTCAGCCTCTGACCACTAGTTGGCAGCAGTGAGCCAGACATTTGGCTCCTCTACCTCTTGAGGTCCAGAGAGTAAGGGTAGCATTAGCATTGTAAGTAAACATTAGCT